GCAGGAATGGGGCGATGATCCCACCTAGGTCACACAAACTCGAGCACAGAGAAACACCAAAGTTTCTGCAAAAGAAAAATAGTGCTAGATATTTGAGAGGTGCTACCAAACAGATGAACCAGCAGTTTAAGGAGAAGAATGTAGACTTAGCTCCAAAATTATCTCATCAGAATATGCCACCCACATTGAGCAGCGGCTATTCAGCTAGGAAATGCTGGAGAAAACTGAGTTTTACTAAAAAGTGGTGAAACAGTGAATGGGGAAAAGCAGAAGGAAAAGTTGAAAGATTCCTGTGAGTTTTCAGCGTACCTCAGTGTCGTAGGGTACAGTTCAGTGTTCACAAGATAGACGATTTCAAAAGCTATCGTGATGCCCAGTCTTCCCAGCGTTGCGACTGTTGTTTTGAGCCATGGGATATCTGTTCATTCAAAAAGAAACCCAGGAGCAGTGTGATTTGCAACACCAGCACAGTGTTCCTGAGAGCCCCAGGCCCTGTCTGCAGAAGCTACATCACAGAGACACTAGATCAGTACAAATCAGACTGAAAGGCCACTGCTGTAGATATCAATCTATACCAGTATTTATTGCTTTCCAGCATCATGCAAGGCTGCTTTGGAGAATGAGAAATCACCTTCCATCGATTGATTCAAGATTCTGGTGGGGCATAACAGCATGGGTGGGGGAATGAATGTTAAAAGCTTCTACGACCATGTCCAAATTGTACACTGGAAAGGAGGATTTCTTTATATATGGATGTTATGCTGTAATGGTAACACCATTGAGTCACCTCTCAAAACCACCACAAAGAAGGTATGTCTAAAGGTGCATCTGCAGCAACAGTAAAATAATTCTCCTTAGAGTAGGCCAACTACATAATTTGTCTAGTCGTTGCACATTAGACACGCTCCTAATACTGCACTCCTGGCCATCCTGTCCCTTCCCTTCCTGGTGTGTGGCTTTGTACCTGGCACAACCGGCCCGCAGGCCCTTTGCAGCCCCAATGGCTCTGCCCTGCCCTCCCAGCTCCACCCGAGCTCTGGTGCCCACCCACAGCCCTGTACACATCAGTGGGGAGCCCACATACATCAGCACAGGGTGCCATGGTCACACCCACACCGCCGGGCAGAGCCGTCCAGTCCCCCAGCACTCCCACTGCCCTCTCTGGAGAGCCAGTGGCCTCTGGAGGAGCCCCACAAGGAACACGATGAGCACTTCTGCAATGCTCTTGGGAGAGGACAGGCGCCTGTACGGTCTAACCACAGCTGGGCAGTCAGGGAGGCCTGAACCTGGCATAAAGGGGGATCTCTGCTGCTGGAGAGGGCTCTGGCAGTGATTGTGTTTTCTCAAAACTTCAATAGGAAGGACAAGAAAACAACTCCATTTGCTCTGAACCAAAAAAATGAGATGTTTGGGGTTATTTCCCATCCAAAAAAACCAAACAAAACCCCATCAAATTTCATCCCATGTTGCGAGACTGCCTTTGCCCTGAAAAGTTCTGTTTTCAAACACTTGTAAGAAAAGCAAAGGCTGTAAAGAACAAAACAAACTCATATTGTCTCCCTGGAACCCCTTTGTTCCATCAGACCCCTGAGGTGAGGGTGATGTCTGTATGCCTCCTCCCTCTGCCAGGGGACTCCAACTGTGTGAGCACCTCAAGCACTCACAAGCTGCCTCTGCGGCTTTTCCCATCTTTCATTTCTTGAAAGCAGGATTTTCCACTCTTTGTTTCCTCCCCCTGCAACAGCCCTAGCTCCAGGTGATCAGCAGTGCCCAGTCCCTGCTGTCCCAGTGGGTCCTTTGGACTTTTCTAATGGCTGGGAACAACGCTGGCAAAGTCAGCAGATGACATGGTGACCAGGCCCTCTGTGCCTGAACTGCCGTGCCCCACACTGGGGGAGCTGCCACAGGAGCACAGGGTGGCTGGCGTCTGCTCAACACATGGCGGCTCTTCTGAGAGGCACGCAGCAGTGGGGACCTGGGGAAAACTCCCCGGGACAACAGAGTTAGTCTTCACTGGCTTCAGGGGTCAAACTGATGGGCACGTCGTACTCTTGAAGAGGTTTCTCACGGTTCTCCTCTAGGCAAATGATTGCTCCACAATATAACTTCAGGAACTAAAACCTCTAAGGCTGGCCAGGACTGTCCCTTACTTTGACAGGAGCATCCCTGGGGAGGAATAAGCCTGCCTACTGCCCGTTCAGCTGCTTGTCCCCAGCTGGGCTAAGGCAAAGCATGCTGATGTGGTAGCATTTGCTTCAGAGCACCTCCAAATGCATCCGCAGGGGATAAAAAAAAAAACAAACAGGAGGCAAACCTGGGTAATTCAAAGAAAAGACAGGAGTGCTGGGAAGCCTGTGTGCAATATCAGAGCTTTTAGTGGTCCTTGAAACCAGGTAAGATGGACTTAATTAAAAGCCATGCCTTTCCTCCAGCCCCTTAACATTGTACACACCCCTGGGAGGGTGAGGGCAGGGCAACAACCTCCATGTTGTCCGCCACAGCCCATACCTCCTGCTGTGGTTTGCAACATTTTATTTGCAAATGAGAATGCCACCAAGCTGCCTCAGCTAAATCGCTGATTTCTTACGTCACTGAGGATCTTCCAAGTCAGGGAATGTATTTTTCCTTTATGTTTGTATACTCTTCTCTTGCATTCGCCTTCAAAAACTGTACAGAGCCTATATAAACATTTTTTCTAAAACCCAGCTGTTTCTCACCACCCATCAAAGACACAACCACTGCATGTCTCAGGTCAATCTATGAGCACATAAGGTGTGTTGTTCCATGACTGCGGTGCTCCTGGCATCACCGGAAACTTTTTGCTTCCATCCACAGTCTTCTGTGGCCTGCTTTCCTTGCTTAAGGAGTGTCATTGACCCTTGAGAAGTCAAGAGCCATTGAGAGAAGTCATTGACCCAAAGAGCTTGACGTTGGGAGGGGAATTACCTTCTGGCAAGAAGGCCGTAATGAGGCATGCAATTCCCGCCACAATGTTGCTTATTCCAAAGGGAAGGCGCCGGCCAATGCGATCCATTGTCACTAAAATTAGGAGAGCGGCAGGCAGCTCCACGGCTCCTGAGATGAAGAAGTCTAGGTAGAGGTTTCCTCCGACAATTCCTAGGCGCATGACAAGCCCTTGGTAGGTCAGAGCACTTGTGAACCTAAGCAGCAAAGGGAAAAAAAAAAATTTGAGAGGCAAACAAATGGCAGCTGGAAAGACCCTAAAAGTCACAAGGGATTTTTTCTCCAAAACCCCCTGGTAACAAGCTGGACTGACAGCACTCACCATGCGTACATCAGGATGAACGTGTTCCTCCTCATCCAGGGAGTCCTCACCAGGTCCAGGAAGGAGGGGTTGCTGACCTCCTCATTGCTGATAGTGATCTGAGGAGAAAAGTAAGCAGGAGAGTCAGCTGTTGGGGGTCGGGCAGGCGCTCGGGCAGAGTTTCTGTGTAAACATGGTGCTCAGCAATATTCCAGTCCAGCAAACAAAGGTGCTGATAAGCCAGCTTGCTGCTTTTAGCACTCCAGAGCAGGGCGCAGAAATGGGAAACAGCTTATAACTGGACACAGCTGTGGGCTCTCTTTAATGATGATGGTGCAAAAAGCAGAAAAAAAAAGCCCCCCTCTTGACTTGAGAGCAGAAAAATTATTTCCTCCTTGTAAACTGAGAGATGTCAACCTGGAATTTCTTGGAAGGCAATAAGCGGTCGTTGTCACGTCAGGGTCATTTGGGAGCAGAGCTGCCTTCTGCCAGAGGTGACGGAGAGGAGGAGACCGTGGCAGGAAGGGCAAAGCGATGGGCTGTGGGAAGCAGGGAGAGAAGGGGTGAGAAACAAGGGCTTGGGAACATGGCTGGTGGCACAGCTGGGCAGCAAGAAGGAAAGAGGAATGAGAGAAAAAGCAGATCTGTGAAGGCGCTTGGGTGCTACAAAACGTTCAACTGGGGAAATTCAGAGGGTCTTAAAATAAACAAGCACTGTGCTGAACATGGCCTTTACCCTGGAAGAAAAAAATCCTGCAAAGTATGAGTTAAAGGTTCTAATACTGCCCATGAAGTATAGTAAATCTGTCCACAGCTTCCTCCAATACAGTCACAGTGAGGCACTCAAAACCGTTAGTTAGAAGGTTTAACAATAAGAGAAAAGGGCAGGATTTCACACCCCCCGTGTTAACATGTTGGAGTTCATTGCCATAGGGTATTGTGGAGCCAGAAAATTAGCGAGGTCAAAATGGGATTAGGCACATTGATGGAGGCTGTTTTTAACTGTGGCCAGCAGTTTTTGACCTTGGTGTCCAAGCCAGGTGTCAGGCCTTTTGTTTGCATGTTCATTTTGCAGGAGAGGGAGATGAGGAAGAGAAGGCAGAGGTGGTTTTAGGCAGGGATAAACCATGAGACTGCCCAAGAACTGGCAGCCATGGCTGGGATTGCCATTAGCTCGCAAAGCCGCTGTGGCAAACATGGGGTTAAACCTGCTGCAGCCGTTTGAGGAGAATTTCAGGCAGGCTGGCGCCTTTGACTCTCAGTTATTGCCCTCCTCCTGAGTAGAGGCCTAAGAGCAAAGAGAGGAGTAAATCCTCTCCGCAGCCACAGCCCTTGCTGCCCACGCAGATGCAGGAGCCCAAGGAAATGATCCCATCCCATCCAGTGGGGAGACGTGGGTGAAAGGATGGAGAAGCACATGGGAATGTGCAGATCCATGATGAGAACATAGGTAAAGCCAAAAGCACTGCCCAAGGGTCCCCATGGGGGATCTCACCAGCCAGGGCTGTGCCCAAAGCTTTCACCCTGTATTTGTTTTTCACATCATAAGGTAGCACAGAGGTTTTTCAGTGAGATTTGGCTGGATGTATTTATGCATGACTTTTTCATAACTGAGTGACACCAAACTTTGTAAGTGGCCAGAGAAACCCCAGATTTGTTTGATCTTCCTTTCTACTCTCTGTTGCTTTTCTTCTGTAACCAGAGCCAGAAGTTTTCAAAGCGCTGCCACGTCTGTTGCATGCCTGAGCCCTTTGCAGGGCAGGCAGAGGTTGCTGGGTTTCTGCACTGCTCTTGGACTGTCTCATATTGTGGTTATAAAGCTGCCACGACTGTGTTTATAAGAGCAGGCTGCCAGCCATCGGTTGTGACTTTGTGCAAATATGGTGTTAGTTTTCCAAAGGACTAAAGATAAATCACGCATGGCTGCTATCATATATTCTAATGTCTTAATAAAGTCATAATAACCCCAAGTATGACTGAGCACTTTTTTATGGATGAATAAAAGAATCACTGTGGAAAGTCAACTCTTTGTGGGGAAAAAAAAAAATCCTCTTTTTGTTCTTTGAAGTCAAGGAGACCTTTGCTATTCACATCAGTGCAGTCAGGAATTCAGTGACAGGGCCCTTGTTTCCAAAGATACAGCATCTGAAAACTCTGGAGGAAGTTTTATAACCACCTTCCCTGGCATTTTTATGTTCCACCAAATTACATATCAGTCTTTCTGCAATAATTTTAAAAGATTTATCATAACATAGACGTATAATTCTGCACAGGACAGTACATCCATGCATGTCTATAATACATATGTAAGTAAGTTAATGTATACTGGAAATATGTATGTCTAAATATGTCTACATAGTAGAAATATATATAAAGGGAGAGGGATTTTTGATCCACAGCCCTCCCAATAAGCAGCTCTTACTCAGCTGGTTGCAGTTCATTCTGCTTTTGGACAGAGACCAAGAATGAAAAAGTTAGCTTGAAAAAAAAAACCATGCTAGGGTAATTACAAGCAAACAGAAAAGAAGAATTTATAATTTACAATTAATTTAATGAGTTCTGGACAGAGCTGAACTGTACCAGTGTTGTAACTCACAGAGCAAAAGAAGCAAATGTTTATCTGTTTTCATACAAAGGTCATCTGTGGTTTCTGGATGCCAGTAAAAATGCAACACTGCTACATCCAGAGCCACATAAGGGACTTGGCCAGTGAAATTGTTACAGACATATTGGAAAATCTTAGCCAAAATGCATTGTTGGATAATGCGTCTCTCTTCTCCCTGTCCCTTCACACCTGCAGCACTTTGCCTGAAATTCTGGAGTCACTTTGTGAAAGAGAATTCTGACGTGAGTTAATGTGAGAAATACACTTGATCCACGACTAATGCGCTTCCTGGAGATGCTCTCTCTCCTCTGGGCACAGCACCAAGGATGACAGACATTGTATATTAAAAAGGTCCCGGGAACAGATCCAGCACAAATCTGGATGTGTGGAGGTTAATCTACTGCAGCTGTGAGTGGCTTAGGGTCATGAGCAGGGACACTTATGAAAAAAAATAAATATAACTTAAAACAGAAAACAGGGAAAGACATATATCTCCATTCGGACACAGTGCTTTGAAAATGCTGATGTTTAGAGAGGGGAAGCAGGTGTAGGAACACAGGGCTGAACGTGGAGGGGGAGCTGCAGCAGTATAACCTTCCCGCTATGTGTCTTGGGCCACACTTGGCACTGAGTAATGCTGACCAGGATGGGGGAATCTCACCGGTGTATATGCCCTGGTCAAGGACAATAAATGGATTTACCCTTTTCTCTCTCCTTAGACAGACTTTTTAGGTTTTTACTCTCCCGCTGGTTTCATTCTGTGGTCCTCCAGTTGCATAAGATGCTGCTCCAATGTGATTAGCAAAGGTCATTCTGCATTGTGCCAAAGCTGAGGGTGATTTCCTAACCTTGGCTGGTATCACAGAGATGCCTTGGCTTCCACTGGAAAAACAATTCTCTAATTGCTGGCCTGCCTAGCTTGTTACTGCTCATCAAAACCCCTTCTGTCATTGTGCTTCACTAATGTACAATGGTCTCATCTGGTATATCCCATTTTGTGGCCAAGAAAGTTATATTAAACCTCTCCTACTGACAAGCCCCCCTCACTATCATTAACCTTTGTGTGCTCCCCTGAGCAACATAACATTCATAGAAACACCGTTATAGCAATGTAATTGCACTTGAACAAATTGCTTATGAATAAAGCAGCTGGGTGTGGAAATGTATGTTTCAGCATACTCAGCTCTGCTTATAGGTCTAGTTTTGACTTTACAAAATTATTAGTCCAGAGTTGTCTATCTTAAGAGGCATAGTATATGTTAGTGCCCAGCTTCTCTATGGAACCTGTCATGTGAACTTTAACTTGCCAGGACTGTCATTAACAGTCATTAACATACACTTAATGAAGTGGAAAGATAATGGAATATTGGTAGAAATCAACTGGCCATTTCTATATGCCTTCTGTTGCCACATACCTCTTCCTGCATGCTCTTCATGCAAGGTCTATATTTGGTCCTGAATAAGCAGAGTTCTTAGGCTGTCTGGATGATTTATGGAGTCTGCTTCACACCAGATAAATAACATCCTATGGATTTGGGAACAGCTATCTGGATTTTCAGAAGAGTGCCAGTAATTACTATTTGGGTTTGATCCAGAATTATACTCTAGGATTTTGGTGAAGCAACTGCACTTTTTCAGATAAACTGGCAAAAAGTCTCAGGTTCTCCCTAGCTTAAGAAGAGCAACGAGAAAGACGTAGATAAAATACCAAGCTGTGGGAATCCAGGTTGCCAACTATCTGTTACAAAGCAGACACATTGTGGTGTCCCTTCTTGACAGGATGGAACATATCAGTCTCCTCCAAACACGGCCATCCTAAAGTCTTTGCCTTTAGTCTCAGTGAAAATTTAGTTAGAATTCACACATGATCATTTAGTATGTGTATAAAAATGAATGTATATGCATATGCATGTATGTAGGCATAAAGGATACTACTGTGCACTGATAGATGAACATTTTATGTAGGTCAATTCTTTCCAATAACAAAATCCCAATTTCTTTCTGAAGTATTTGTAGTCTATTCAATATGCCACCTCTGGGCTGCTGCATGCTAACAATTTGCAGAGGTGTTTTCCTTAGTTCACATGATGATTTCTAACATTACCATAGCTAGCATTTAGGCTCCAGACCTGGTTTGTTACAGAACAGGAACCTTGAGCACACCTGTTGTCACCACAGAACCATAAGGCCAATGCCATGGCAAGCATGATCTGAGAGACAGGCAATGCTGCCCAGCACAGAACAAGGCAAATGCTGCATTAACACAAGTGTCATTTGAAATGCATCAGTCCTTTCAGTTCCATCAAGACCACTTGTCAAAGGACTGTAATTCTAACACATATTTCCTATTGTGTAAATAGTGACCTTAGACAGTGCTTCCCCTATTTTGAATTTTGGGGCCTAGCGGGATGGAAGCAAATTTATACTTAAATTCTGATTTTCTATATCATCTTCTCTTTGAGTTGTAAAAGGAAGTTTTAGCAAAGGAGCCAAGAAAGGGGATCCTGCTGTCTCCACACACTCTGTCAGCTAAATTGGCAGTTGCTGTGAAATACTATTGGCCCTCAGGCTAGTTTCTGATATTTTCTACAAGTTTTTAAAGTAGGAGTGTTGCAAATGAACTGATTCACTGTTTTGCAGATTTCTTTTTTCAGCCCATGCCTTTCCAGACAGTTCACTTTTACCCTCTTACAATTAACAAAGTAGGTATCAGACTGACAATCTTGTTCTTGTGTGACACTTCAAGAGTGTTGCCCATCACATAAAGAGAATGCATTTTAACACGACTGAACCTTCAAAAGAGTAAGAAAGTTTAGAAAAAATCACTAGTTCAAACAGATGATAGTACCTCTGAGTAATGTGGTGAGAGATACTTCCCATTGTGTTTCGCAATGTTGTGCATGATTTTTAATGCCTTCTCTCGCTTTTTGCGCGTCAGGAGCCAACGAGGAGATTCAGGAACCACCCTGGAAGAACACAGAATTCGTAAATGGGGGTTTTGCCTTTTAATATCATAAGTAAACCAGAGTCCTTTGCCTTTTTCCTGTGTTAATACACAACACCCTGAATTTTCAGGCTTTGGGATACAGAAACTTTCTTGTGGACTGCTTTTCCAGTCAGTCGCCTGTAAAATATCTGATCCTTGTGGGCAAGAAAGCAGAAAATAGAACATATCAATACTCTGCAAAGCTAAAAATAGGAAATCTAACTATTGTATTTGCACAACAGATGTCAAAAGTATGATAACCAACAAGCAAACAAGGTGCCTGTAGAACAGCTCTGCAAAGCTAAAAATAGGAAATCTAACCATTGTATTTGCACAACAGATGTCAAATTATGATAACCAACAAGCAAACAAGGAACAATAAAAGTCAACACTAAACACATATAGTACCAAGTCCAGGCAGAACAGAAAACTAGCTGTATCATTATAGGAGAGACACACAAACACTCTCAACTGTATATATATTTTATAAACCGAACACAAAGCAATCCTACTGATTGTTGTTTCTGTTTCTGCTAGCCTAGAGTTACATGATTCACAATTTAAAAGTTCACAACAGGCAATTGTTAAGGAAAAAATGTGTAAGAAGAGGGTGCGTGGATTAGTTTCTTTGGATGCTGCCCACAGGATGGACACAACAGGCAATTGTTAAGGAAAAAATGTGCAAGAAGAGGGTACGTGGATTAGTTTCTTTGGGTGCTGCCCACAGGATGGATGCACTCCACTGGGACAGATGTTCACCACTGCATGGTGCTCTGTTTCTCATTAGCTGTACTGCCTAACTTATGGGACCTTGTCCTACAACAGGCAATTGTTAAGGAAAAAATGTGCAAGAAGAGGGTACGTGGATTAGTTTCTTTGGGTGCTGCCCACAGGATGGATGCACTCCACTGGGACAGATGTTCACCACTGCATGGTGCTCTGTTTCTCATTAGCTGTACTGCCTAACTTATGGGACCTTGTCCTAGTTTCAGCTGGGACGGAGTTAACTTTCTTCACAGTAGCTAGTGAGAGGCTGTGTTTTGGATTTGTGCTGAGAAGAAGGCTGATCACACACTGATGTTTTTGCTGCCAGGACAGTCAAGGACTTTTCAGCTTCTCTGCTGTGCCAGTGTCTGCAGGGGCAGGAGAAGCTGGGAGGGAGCACAGCCCCAACTACTAGCCCAGGATTCAACCTGAGGTTTAGGACTGAGACCCAAATTGGCCAATGGTATATTCCATATCATGCACGTCATGCCCAGTGTATAGATGAGGATCTGTCTGGAACTGCTGTCTCTCGCTGGGTCACCCCACTCTTGGGGTCATCTCTCACTCTCGCAGTCAGCTCTCACTCTCTCAGTCAGCTCTCACTCTCTTGGATACTCAGGCTCATCTCTTTTCTGAAATTGTGGTTTTGGGACTCTCCCTGCTCCAGGATCTTTGGCCAGGAACAGGCTGAGCCTTGGTCATCGGGTGGTGAGCAGTATCAATATGAATCACTCATTTGCGTATTTGTAGGTTTGTATATATTACTATTATAATTATTATTTTCAATTTTATTGTAGTTTAGTTGTTAAATGGTTCCTATCTCAATCCACAAGTCTCTTTTCCCTTTACCCCTTTAATTCCCTTGCCCATCCCCAGGAGGGGGAAGGGTGAGCAAAGGGCTGCGTGGTCTTTGGCCGCCAGCCAGGTCAAACTGCGACAGACCTGTAGGGCAAGTGCAGGCTTGAACTGAGAACATAATTAGAGGTGAAGGTGGGGTTCAATGGCTGATGGGGAAAGTAGACTTTGGTCAAGTTAACCAGATAAACAGCCATCCCTGCACCAAGCAGGAGCAGAGCAGGGTTCTGTGGAGGGCCAGCTGTGGCTGACAAGAGAGGCAAACCCTGGGCAGGAAAAGGAAAGTAATGTATGTCTGCAATTCACTAAAGAGAATTAAAAATGCCGGAATTAACAATATGCAAATATCTTCCTCCTAACCCACATCTTGCACACTGGATACTTGAGACCACAGCAGGAGTCTCAAGGTGCTTGAATAGCAATAGCAGTAACGACCACAGCAACGACTGCAGCCTTACCAGTAGTAGAGCAGGAAGAGGAAGTTGGGCAGTGAAATGGCCAACTGGATCCCCTGCCAGGTGGGAACCAGGTATGCAATTCCAGGAAGAATCATAGTTCCCAGACTGAAGAAGATCTGAATCACAATCCCAACAATCCGCTGGTCAGAGCCAACGATCTCCGTCACTGAGCAGAGAGAAAGCCAAAATAAACAACATAGGACAAAACCTAACTCAAAGAAAAATATTAGTGGTAGAACACGAGGGAGGGTAGTACTGCATCAGGTCACAAGCCTGTCTAGCCCAGCATCTTGCCTTCAGCAGTGTAAGTGTGTCACCGAGGCTGTCCAGGGCAAGCACGAGTGACACCTCCTCATCAATTCACCCATCATTCTTCAGCTGGAGGGGTTTCTGACTGCATGTTTACTAATGAATTATACAGAGCCAGAACAGGGGTTTGAGACTGCATCATGATCGTGCTTAGTGGTAAACTGTTATTACTCTCCCTGACATGGTTTTGGCCCATGCTCCATTCTAGACGATCCTCCAGGCAGGGGCTGCTCCCAGCAGATTATATGGACATGGCATCTGTGGGGAAGAGAGTTTAGGATACCATGCTGGTTGTTCTGAGGGCTAAGGTATGGTCCACAGTTTGTTTTATTTACTAGAACAAACATAGCCTTTGTTGGGTTTTTTTAAATCCTTTTGTGGATTTTTTATTTTGTGAATGTGTCTAATTGCTTCTGAAACCCATGTAAGCCCATATGTCAGGCAATATCCCACAGCCTGTTATTTTACTAAAGCAGACACAATTTTACAAGTAACAGTGATTCATTTCAGCTGGCAATGCAGAGAGATATGACACCATTACTATTTTTATTGACTATTCATCATGCCTGCATGGTTCAGGGGCAACTCTTGCCTAAAAGCAGCTGCTCAGCACTGGGAAGAGCTGAGTTGTATGTAAAAGCAAAGAGAGGGTCTTGGGGCAGCCTGTTGTGGTTCTGAAGCACAAATCAGCAGCTTGGAAAATGTAAGAATGGCAACTGTCCTCCTGGTGCAACCAAACCAGACCTGTACATGCCTCTTAAGAGATGTTAGGTTGTTAAGTACTCTGGGTGATCCTGGGACATAAGAGTAGATCCCTGAGAGGGTTTAGATGGAATCATTCTCTCCAAGAATTAAGCACCTTGCTTAGGGCTGTCGGAATATACTGTCCCTCAGGATGTCATATCTCTGAACCTTTCCCTAAGGGCAGGCAGTCTGATCCGAGCATTGACAAGCATTCCTTTCTGTATAAACTTGGCCATTTTAAGGAAGCCATGGGTCTGTCATAAAACACTTTGCTAGTTAGAGCACTTGCCAAAGTTTTAGGATAAGATCTCAGTTTAAAATTAGGCCATGAAAGTGAGGGGAAAAGCAGTTTCTGACCCTTTTGCTGGCTCTTGGACCTGAGCTGCTCAGCAGTGTAACTGTGCCCAGAAAACTTAGGTGCTTCTGGGCTTTAGATGCTGGGAGGGCTAGACAGGTACGTTTGTGCATACATCAGCACAGTGTTCCCAGGTCTCACTGTAACTGTTTACATCTGGTTGCAACTCTGCTCTCGCTTGTCTAAATTCCACTAGGAATTTAAAAAAATTGCCACAGGCCTCCCAGACTACAGTGATGGTACAAATTTTTGCACTATACAATGATGTTATCACTGTGTTTTGGATTATCACAGCAGATTACTGAATGGCTGATTTTCTTTTTAAATTAATCTGACATCTCCTCTTCAATAGGATGCCTTCCTCAATGTCATGCTATTTCATGCTCTAGAGGGGAGTTTCCGTTTCTGAGTCTGGCAGTCATCCAAGATGCTACAACAATACGCTTTTCTCATGAAAAGTAAGCGTGCTATGGAAGGAGCTTCATCACTGGACCATGACTATAACCCATCAGAGTCTGGATCCCTGCTGTTTTGATGCTATTTATAAAAAAGCTTCCCTTCCTTTTCCCTTTTCAGGAAATAATAATCCTAATACGGACACTCGTGTCCAGCCTGGCACTAAGCAAAGCCTCCCAGTTAAAGAATGAAGAGCAGCCATCCACGTGTCTGTCCTCCCAGTGAAGAAAAGCAGTTAACTCCTCTGAGCATCTGCGGAAGATGTTCAGACTCTTACAAAATTATCCATGTCCCTGTTTGTGTATCCAGTTTATTTAGATCTTGCTTTGTAGATTTTGATCATCCTGCTGATCTTCTATGTAATAAGAAAACCTTTATATATTCACATTCCGCTCCTCCAGGATGCACTTAGGTTATTTGTTCTCTGCTGAGCCCAAGGTCAGTGCTTTCTTTCCAAGAAAAAATATTATCAAGAGCAGATGTAACCAGACTCCTTGTCCTCCAAAAATCCCTCAGTTTTCCTAACCAAAGAAAAAAGGAGACGAGCTCTCACCGATCACGTAGCATGTCATCCAGGTTCCTTTGCCAAACAGACCTTGGAGAAAACGGAAGATCAAAAATACAGTAAAGTTTGGTGCGAATGCCACTATGATACCACATATCCCAACCCCGAGACAGGAGAGCAGGTAGATGAGGATTCTGCCATATCTGTTGAAAAAGGAAAAAAAAAAGTGAAATTCATGAAAAGACACAAAGGTTTTTTTTTTTTTTCTGGCATCTCATGTTAATGCTAGATCTGAAAATGCCCTTTTGAGACCATCCTTGTTCCAAAGGGACACTGCCTGAAGGTTTGTAGGTTTGGCCCTTGGGATATGGGACTGTTTTCCCTGTGGTAGTTATCACTGCCTTTATGTCACTTGTTTGAAAACTGGTGATGTCCTCACCAGGCCCCTTTTTATTTTAGAAAACAGTTTTATTTCTGTGTCTAAACTATAGCCCATGTGTTACAGTGCAGACTTTTGATCCAGTTGAAATAAGGACAACTTTTATTGGGGATTTCTCTTTCCACAAATTAGTCTCCTAATAGTAATGAGAGACAGCTTTGTGAAAGTAATTTATTCTTTAATTACTTTATGTGATTTTCCAGTGTTTTGCTTAGGTTTAGACTGCTTGTTTTCAAAATCTGCCTAACATATTAATGAGTCTCATTTTCCAGCAAAAAGCATCCTTACTAATAGGTGTGCCCAAGGTAAACCGTAATTCCAAAAAAACCCAACAAAAGCTCCCTGTAGTTTCATGGCAACTGTGTCCTTGGAATACAGCTAGAATGTCTGTTTTGATCTCTTCTCCATTGTTATTGTTGCTGATTTATAAATAAGAAACCGTGAAAACTGTTGTAGCTGTTTATCTTATCAAAAAGTATTTGAGATAATATTTGTTTGTTCATTTTGTTCAAAAAGGTTTCACGAGATGAATTTATCCAGGACAAAAATCAGGGTTCTTTCAGCCAGGTCCATTCTTTTCAGTGCTCTCAAGGAGACAAGAACCCCCTGGTCTGGCTGCAGCACATTCCCCCAGTGCTATCAATGCACGACATTCATAGTTGTACAGCAGTTACATTACGCTTAATACACAAATACTCCTAAACACATTATTTTATGTTAATAATTATCTGTAATATCTCTACTCTTACACAGTCTTAAGGTGCTAGTATCACAACTGCCCAGCCAGACACTGAGCAGAGATATCTTGAGTTGGCCAGTGCCATGGCATCTTTTCTGCCTTACTTTTTCTCTTATTACTACATCCCTTGGAAAGATGAGGTTTTCCTTGAAAGTGCTCTTGTTTGCTGGTTCAAAATGTGTTGGCTGAGATGACATTCCAGATAATTTTGTAAGTATTCCTGCCTACAAAGAAATTGTACTCTAAGTTATTGCTACTATTATTACATTAATACAGGAAGTATTTCATGAACTAAAGACATATTAACTAATAACTCTGACATTGAAACCACCAGTGGCGGTCTCAGCCAATGTCGGCTGTCTGCTGTTAATTGTCAGCACAGAGCACAAACCAGGCTCCCTCCTTTACTCTAAGACCAAGGTAGAGCTTATCGGAGCTCCACACTCCGGGGCAGGTCAGCTGCTCAAGCCTGAATATCACCCACATCTTTTCTTTGGTATTCATCCAGCTCTAACACAGTTGAAGACTGGCTGGAGGGAGCTATGACCTCGGTGGTAAGTGCATGAGTCCAGTCTGTGAATGGAGAGTTACCATACTGAGTCCCTTCCCTTTTTCCTTGAGTAGCTGCTTTCCTCATCAATGACACCTATTAAACATCCTCCAGTAAACACCAGTCCATGAAACTCCTCTGAATGCTTTCTTTCCATTTCTGTGTCCTTCTGCCCTTACTGGGTCCAGATGTACAACGAAAACATTGGAAACTGCAAGAATATCTCTTTTCATGACATTTAACGTCCAACCAGGATCCGTAAGCACAATCGTGTGAAGTTCCCAGCCCAAGCAGAAGTGAAGATGACATTGGCTGTGTTTTGTTAACCCAGGTGGGGGATGTTTATCCAAAGTGAACTAAACCTCCGAAGTGTTGACGCTTGCTTATTACAGGTGACATTATGAGTGATTTCACTTCTGAACAAATGAAAGGACAGCAGAACTAATACAGTACCTGTCTGCAGCGTAGCCCAGGGTGAACGCGCCGGCCAGAAACCCCAGATTGAGGATAGCCTGTGAGAGATCCAGCATCCAGGCATTGCCGCACACAAGGTTATACTGTGGGAACAAGGGAGAGGCATCAACGCCCCAGGCGGGTCATTCATCGGCCTCAGGGCAAAACATTATAGAAACTACATAGGGCCAGGCAGGAAGGGGAAAGAGAAGGGGAAGGGGAAATTCAAATGTGCTTTTCCAACAGCAGGCCAGGGAAGCACAGACAAGCAGTGTTCAAGCTGTCGTGAAGATAGAGACACAGCTCCTCCTTGCCAAAAGGATGCAGTGTTTCATACATCACCGTCCAGATATGGAAAGTAAATTGCTCTTTTGCAAACCAAACACAATACTTTTAAATACATTGCCATGGCAAAGTCATTACTTTGTTTAGTGCAGAATAAGACTGCACAGCTAAAGCCAATGAAAACCTCAGCTTAAAGAAATGGTTTATTTATTTTTCTTAGTGTCTTCTAGATAAAAGCAAAAAAACATGTGATCTCTGAGGAAACTGAAAACAGATCTCAGACCAATTTCAGGCACATTGAATGTGTATTATCTTGGTGTAGCTTTCCCAGACTTTTGCCAATGAAAACCTCAGCTTAAAGAAATGGTTTATTTATTTTTCTTAGTGTCTTCTAGATAAAAGCAAAAAAACATGTGGTCTCTGAGGAAACTGAAAACAGATCTCAGACCAATTTCAGGCACATTGAATGTATTATCTTGGTGTAGCTTTCACAGACTTTTCTATTCCTTATACAGCAGGAGCCATAACTCCCTAACATGACGTTACGTTGGTGCATATCTGAAGAATTCATTACCAGGGATGGGGTGTGAAGGGAAGAGGGAAGTGGGTGAGAAGAAGGACGACAAAGAGACTAGGAATTAAAACTAAAATGAAACTAAAAATACAGTAGTTATACAGACAGCATGTAATTAGAAATTACTGTAGAGGTTCTTAGAGAATAAAGAAATACAACCAAGACTGCCAGGTTTGTCAGATTTTATGGGAGTCGGGAGGTTTCGGTCCATACCTGGAGTAACCTTGGGAACAATGCAGCTTCAGGACCAAGGGAAGCCACAGACAACAGCAGCTGCCACCACTGAATCTAGAGAGACCCCTTTACTTTCAGGCATGAGCTGTAAGAAATCTTTTTATCACTAGCAAGGTGGTGGCTGCTGAAGCACACACAGCGTGTCACATTTGTGCTCCCCTGCATGTGTACCACAATACCATGGCTCGAACACTGTGCCTGCATGGGGTGGTCATGGGGTGTGTTACAGAGAAGATTAACAGCCCCTTCTTCCCCTCACAGTTCTCCAGACTGAAATGTAGTGCTGTGAGCTCCATCCTAGCCCATTTGCCTGCTGTAATTCCCAGCAAGTATTGCCTGGGCCTGGGATTTCAGAGGTGCCTATGCAGGAGATACAGAGGGCACCCCGACTTGGATTTCACTGAGCCTGAACCTGGACCAAAAAACTTAAAATAATGGTCTTAAATGTTTATTTATGTACCTAAATAAGAAAACATTTCTTTTAATATCCTGAACTCCACACGGGTGCCACTCACACTCATTTCTATGGGCTGTTCTTCACTTTTAAAAATTGAACTCCTCAGTTTTTGTTCCAGATGAGCCATTAGCACTGTCACTGACAGCAGAATCGTTGTTGTTAATCCTGGAAGTCCAGGATTTGGGGTTTTTTTGTGGCTTTTTGTTTTTCTTGAAGCCACAGGTCTGGGAATTGTGTGACTGAGAACTGCGGTTTCCAGCTCTCAGAACTGTGAATGAAAACTTGTCTAGTAACCTCGTATATGCCCAATCCGACAGATATCCCACCCTCACTGACCTGAAACAGAGTCATGGTTTTGATGTCAACCTCATAACTTCGAGGAGCCTGACTGACCACCTTCAGCCAAGCCAGGCCATCAGTGTCTGGATTCTACTTCTGTAAATCCTGAGCAGGAGCTACAGAAACCTCAGCTTCCTCTGAGAGAAATAAAACCTGCTCTCAGCTGTCATACTCAAGGGCTATTGCAATGTTTCCTAAAATAGCCTGAACATGGAGCAACACTTTCAGACTTCAAACACTGCTTAACCTCTTGCTTCTTGAAACTACAACAACCTTGACAAATAGTATCAAAAGATGCAGCTTTGGAAAGCAGAGTTTATTCATGAGAATGACCTTTAAAAGAAGATTTTAGAAGTCAATGCAATTGACTGTGCTGGTGGCAGACATTGGGGCTCTCAGGGAAGCATCTGAAGTCACCTACAAGTCAATGCAATTGACTGTGCTGGTGGCAAACGTTGGGGCTCTCAGGGAAGCATCTGAAGCCACCTATGCAAGGAAATACAGCTCACCAGAGAGCTAAAAAACAGCTACAAGAAAATATCAGCTTCAAAATTGTACTGCTGAAGTGTAACAGAAAAGGAAATGGTCACCTGAAGATATAGGCAGACAAGGGCAAGCAGGAAGAGTGGCTTCACATGAGCTCAAGGAAATTTCTCTTAGTCGAAGAACTGAATAACTGAAAGAGTTAACTTTCTCCACAGTAGCCAGTGAGAGGCTGTGTTTGGATTTGTGCTGAGGAGAAGCTGATCACACACTGATGTTTATAGTAGCTTCCAGGACAGCCAAGGACTTTTCATCTTCTCTGCTGTGCCAGTGTCTGCAGGGGCAGGAGAAGCTGGGAGGGAGCACAGCCCCAATTACAAGCACAGGATTCGACCTTAGGTTTAGGATTGAGACCTCAGTTGGCCAATGGTCTATTCCATATCATGCACATCATGCCCCGTATGGAGATGAGCATCAGTGCAGAAGTTTTCTCTCTGGGTCGTCTCCATCTCTCTCCAGGGTCATCTTGCTCTCTCAGTCAGCTCTCACTCTCTCGGCACTCGGGCTCTTATCCCTTTTCTGGGATTGCAGTTTCAGGACTCTCCCTGCTCCAAGATTGTTAGCCAGGAACAGGCTGGGCCTTGGTCATCAGGTGGTGAGCAGTTTATTGTGTATCACTCATTGGTATATATTACTATTATTTTAATATATTATCTCAACACACAAGTCTCTTTTCCTTTACCTCTTTAATTCTCTCCCCATCCCTGGGAGTGGGGAGGGTAAGGGAGCGGCTGCGGAGCATTTGGCCACCAGCCAGGGGCAAACTACAACCCCCTTTCATAGCACCACATTGGAAGGGACATCTGGAGCCCTTTGATCCAAAACCCCACTCACAGCAGGACCTGCTTTGGGCTTACATCCAAATTAACCTCAAAAGTGGTTGCTCCAGGCGTTGTCCAGTCAGGCTTTCAGCATCTCCCAGGGTGGAGGCTCCACAGCATCCCTGGGTGTCACTGACCTTCTCATCTCTGATGGGGTATTTAGCTGCCCTCTGCTCTTACCAGGCTGAGGGCGTTTCCCCACTCGTATTACTCTGGGTGTCACCTCTTTTTCAAAAATTGTTTACAGCAATGGAGTGTAACAGAAGCCAACTTCAACCTGCATCTGTGCTCCAGCTCTGAACACTGTTTAACATGAACCTTCGCACCATTACATTCTGCCTCCAGCAGAGGCTGGTGGAGTGACCCTGGGAGCACCATTCCCCAGAGGGACAGAGAGGAGTCCTCTCATCTCTCTGCTAGGAGTCCCCAGGAATAATAGAGATCTGAGCCCATGGTCTGCAGAGGGAGTCATCTCACAGTGAAGGCTGATATCACTCAGCACCTCGCAAGTGCCTCAGCCCCTTGAAAGAACAAGACCTTGGAGAGAAATACCAGGTTGGTAGATGAGCAGGGAGAGCTTTGTACAGGACCGGTTTTAAGAGCCCTTCACAGAATTGCCTGAGTCAGAGAGCAAAATGCCCTCTGACACTTGCGGTTGCTCCTGAAGAAGATAGTCATGAGAGGATTCCCCCTCATAAGCCAAAATAGCCAAGGAGAGAATGGGGAAGGGAGTAAGAGCATTATTGCCTCAGCAGAAACAGCAATAAATTGATCTGAGAACAAAAGTAAAAGGTGCGTGTAACAACAAAACCCTTAAAGCAATGTCAGAATGAGATAGTGTTTACATGGACATAAAATATGTAAATAAAAACATAGTAGATCACTTAATATCCCCTTGCTCCTAATTTCAGTTGTTAATTTCAGAGACCAAACCCCAAATTTCCAACACCTGCACTGGGACCACAGCTCTCCCCCAGCCGATACACCAGGTTTCCCAAGACCCAGGAGACTATCCCAGAAGCCCAAGGGATCGTTGGCAGTGGAGCCGCTCTCCTGGAAGGGCACAAAGCTCCCAGGGTCTTGGTGGGTGGCTGGGCTGGGCAGCACTGGAGCGGTGGCCAGGCAAGCAGCCAGCCTGCCCCAGTACCCGCTGCAGGCACTGACCTTCAGCATTTATACTTTCAATCCTTTTTTTTAAAGGGTATATTTATTTTTTAAATAATTTGATTCCTCTTTAGTGTAAACAGGCAATGAATAAGCTGTCATGGAAGAAGACAAGGAGAACAAACGTGTGCCAGGAAGAGAGAGAAAAATATCTCTATTGGAGAGGACTCTCTCACCTGAACAGCAACTTCAGATGATTTAGGTGGCAGCTGAAAATAGCTCTTGGCTAGCAGTACAGTCAAGTATTTTAAATACTCTGGGACATAGGAAAATACAGAAAACTAAGAAACTATGAGCTCTTTCTGAAGAGATTAGTGAATATATACTAACTGTACTCTCTTAAATTAGTCCCTGCACTTTGTTATTTTACAAGTATTTAAATAACTTCTGGTACAGATAAGCATTCCAAGACCTTTTCTGTTTGCTAGACTAACACCTAGCATTCAAGCCCTCACCCTGCTAATGTCTGGCTTTTCTTTTGCAAACATAGCCTTTAGAGGGGAATGTAACCTTTAAAAGAGAATTGAATACCCTGCAGAGATCTTTTTTTGATCCAAGCCACCTGTCAGACCCACGTCACCACTTCAACTGTGACCTGGTATGGTTGTGCCTGATAGCTATCCCCATTTGCATCACTTGGAGGAAAAGCATCTGCATCTGTTTACCCAGGATGTCAGCCTGTCT